AATTTCTTTTTTAAATCAAATTTGAAATTATTAAAACACACGATAAAAAAACCAGAATCATAAATTACTCAGGTTAACAAATTGTATTTTTCTAGAAATTTTGTACGACATTTGAATTTTTTCCCTCCTTTGGTATTTTCTTTAATTCAAATAATCGTTTTTTAAGTTATTAAGTAAATTAGAGAATGCAACATGTCTTAATGAACAATATGCAATATCAGCTTTTTTTCACTCAAATCAGCGTAATTTGAAAATAATTTTCAATTTATGTAACAAGCAAGTAACACGTATTGTACACGTGTGCAACACGTATGTAAAACTTTTTTACTTTTTTGCTATTTTAAATTCGACCGCAATGTTTTGTTTGCTTACTTTTGGTGTGAAGAAGGAAGATGGAGAAAAAAATTATTCTCAGACATTCGAAATCATTTTGCTCGTGGGGTAAAGGCGGGGGAGGAAAGTAAGCTGTAAAGGTGCCCGCAATTTGCGTTGGATAGCAAAAAAAAAAACAAATAATTTATCAAAAAAAAAGAAAGAAAACGTTAACTTTGACCAAGTAAATTGAATTTTCTCTTTAATTTAACTTGAAATGATTTAATTAGTAACGAAATTAATTAACATCACAATGCTTTCCGACTTTGAATTTAAAAATTCAAGTGAAATTTCCAACTAATTCAGGGTGCATATTCTATTCAACAATTTTAAATTCCTTTCTGTTTTCTATCATTAGATTTCATCGTCCTGATAATTATATTTACATATTTCAGATATGAAACATAAGAATTTTTTCATGAATGATGATATTTTCCATTGATTCCTTACAAATACAATAACTTACATTTTAATTTTCCACGTAACACGTTCGTATCCTGATACTATCTTTAAATGACGGCATAATTATTGGATGAATTTTCTTTGTATAAACTTCTGTAAGTTTATTCATTACAGCAATTGGCTAAATTATTTGTGACAAACTCGAAGATTATCATTATTATTTTATAAACCCACCATTCATTTTTTCTACTTCTTTTCAAAAAAAGAGAACAACGATTATCAGTTATTTCAAGATTTTATTTCGAAAAAGAATCACATCAAAAAAGAACATTGTCATCAGAAAGGATTATTAGAATAATATAATACTTCTGTATTATACTCTCTCTCCCTCTCCCAGTCAGTTTAGAGGGAAAAGAATTTGAAATCTATTTGCTACAAATTTAAATTTAAAACTTTTTATTAATTAAAGAATTCCTTATTTAAAATAAAATTTCATTTGTTGCTGGCAAAACTTCGATTATTCATCATTTTCTGTTTTTTTTGCAATTAAAATAGACGAAAATTGGTTGAAATTTTAAGATTATTCTATTCAGTTATTTGCAAAATTTAAAATCATCCAAGATGGGTTCCATTAAAGAAAACAAATGGCAGAAAATAGAGTAAATAACTTGAATTTGAATAATAGTTTACTTAAATCTAATCTAATGGATTGTTTTATTTTATTTCATTTATTTATTTTACTCATTGATTGTCTGATTATCCAATATTATTGTTACAATCTGTAATTGCATAATTTTTCGTCTGTTTAATTTCACAGCCACAACAACAATGATAAAAATAATGACAATGATAGTGATAATGATAATGATAATAAAAATATTATTGCTATCAATATTAATGACAAATAATAATGGTAACAATTCACTATAAAATAAAAAATCTCTTAAATTTAAAAGAAAATTTTTAATCAAATAAATATTTTATGGAATTGCTATTTTTTTAACCGAATAATATCGCCATCATCGTTATCATCATCATCATCATCATCATCATCATCATCATC